ATGGAAAACAGTACTTATGGAAAATAATGTTAATAGTGTTAATGAGAAAGTGTTAATGGAAAATATTGTTAACGGGAAATTGCTTATACAAAATTGTGTTAATGGAAAACAGTGCTTATGGAAAATAGTGTTAATGGCAGCAAAATGTCTATCAATGCCACCCTGAAGTAGTGAACATACGCATATATTTTTTGTGATCATTCTCCAGGCATCTTATTACACGAATAGTTCCTCTTGTTCTGGCCCTTATTTGCTGTAATATCAGAGAACGAAAAAAAGTCTTAAGGGTTATTAATTTGTCTCTTGACGACTTTTCTCACTCGACTGTAGTACTGCAAGTAGGACATGCCCGTTGCACACGATGAACTCTTCGTAATAAGAGAGCTTCTGAGCGTCGGCCGAGTGGAGGTGTTCAGCGACGCTTACTGAAGTCGATGCATGAAAGTACTGTTATATAAATAGTGTATTTGTCGGAAAATAGTGTTTATGGAAAATAGTGTTAGTGGAAAATATCGCTTATGGAAAAACAGTGCTTATGAGTAAACAGTGCCTATGGAAAATAGTTCTTGTGGAAAATGTGCTTATGGAAAATATTGTTAATGGAAGTAGTGTTGGTGGAAAATAGTTCTTATAGAAAACAGTGTTAATGGAAAATAGTGAAGGAAAATTATTACACGAATAATTCCTCTTGTCGATGTATGTGAGTTTGTTTGTTTTTTGTGCCGTATCAGAGCCTGACGTTGGGGACCATGTTTTTTTTAACAGTATGTGAGTACTGTTATGTAATAGTGTATTTACCGGAAAATAGTGTTGATGAAAAATAGTGTTAGTGGAAAATAGCGCTTATGGAAAACAGTGCTTATGGGTAAACAGTGCTTATTGAAAATAGTTCTTGTGGAAAAAAGTGCTTATGGAAAGTAGTGTTGACGGAAAACAGTTCTTATAGAAAATAGTGTTAATAGAATTTTTTTCATGTGAAAAGAAGTGTAGTTAGTGGTAAATAGTTCTAACTTTTATTTACAGTAAAATAGTACAGCGAACAGTGCATTGTATGGTAAATCGTACATATATAATAATTGCTTTGTGTCTCTTTTCACTAATTGTATGCATGGGGTGGAAGTCTGCTTGCGCTGAATGTATTTTACATTGTTTGTCTGTATGTTTGCCTGTTATGTCTGTTTGCATTGTTTGTATGATTACGTTGTATGTATGTTTTGCGCATTGTGTATGATTAGGTTGGATGTGTACTTGAAATGCGTCGTTTCTCTGTTTGCATTGCTTATATATTTGCGTCTTGTAATGCGTGTATGTTTGCACTGTGGGTCTGCTTGTATTTCATGTATGTTTTGCGTTGTATGTCTTTGTACTGCATATTTCGTTGTGTTACTATTTGTACTTTATGCGTACCGTTGCTTGCTTTATTTGCTTGTATTGCATGTAAGTTTGTGTTGTATATACTTGTTCTGCATGTTCTCTTTGTGTTTTGTGTATGGTTTGTATTGCATATTTGTTATATCAATTACATTTGCGCTTTCGCTAAACGTCCTCTTGTGTGACATGTCCGTCTGTCAGCAAGGATGCTAGAAGGCAAAAGAAAGCACAAAGTCAACGTCCATTCGGAACCAGCGACGAGACGGGCACCGCCGTGGACCTCGCCTTAGGAAACGCTCACTGGCCACACGGCAGAAGACGGACGGTATCAGATTCGATGTGCAAAAAGAAAGATGAGAAAATGCATCTGGAAAATGTTATGTGATCGCTCTCACGGGCTAATGGACCTTCCTGGCGCCCACTGTGCCCGCGCTCGTCCTGGGCATGACGTTAATGACGTGTTAATGGAAAAGTACTTATAGAAAGTTGTGTTAATGGAAGATAGTGCTTATGGAAAATAGTGTTAATGGCGTCAAAATGTCTATCAATGAACATACGCATATATTTTTTGTGCCATGTCTGAGCCTGACGTTGGCGACCATTAATTTCATGGTTGTACAAGGGAGTGTACCAAGGTGGTTTCCCGTTGCCTTCCACCTAATATCGCTTATGGAAAAACAGCGCTTATGGAAAATGTGTTTATGGAAAATATTGTTAATGGAAATAGTGTTGGTGGAAAATAGTTCATATAGAAAACAGTGTTAATGGAAAATAGTGCTTATGGAAAGTACTGCATGTGAAAACAAGTGTAGTTTGTGAAAAATAGGAAATATCTTTATTTAGCAAAAATTAGTACAAACTGAGAACAGTGCATTGTATGGTTAATAGTACATATATAATAATTGATGTGTGTCTGTTTTCACTGACTGTATGAATGGGTTGGAAGTCTGCTTGCGCTGCATGTAGTTTGCATTGTTTGCCTGTATGTTTGCCTATTATGTTTGTTTGCATTGCTTTTATGATTACGTTGTATGTATATTTTGCGCATTGTGTATGGTTAGGTTGGATGTGTGCTTGAAATGCATATAATTTGCGTTGTTTGTCTGTTTGCATTGCTTATATATTTGCGTCTTTTGTAATGCGTGTAAGCTTGCACTGTGGTCTGCTTGTATTTCATGTATGTTTTACGTTGTATGTCTGTTTGTACTGCATATTTCGTTGTGTTACTATTCGTACTGTATGAGTACCGTTGCTTGCATTGCATGCATGTTTGTGTTGTATATAGTTGCTCTGCATGTTCTCTTTGTGTTTTGTGTATGTTTTGTATTGCATATTTGTTATTCGCTAAACGTCTTCTTGTGTGACATGTCCGTCTGTCAGCAAGGATGCTAGAGGACAGAAGAAAGCACAAAGTCAACGTCCATTCGGAACCGGAGACGTGAAAATGTGGAAAATCGCCCTAATGGAAAAACAGTGCTTATGGAAAATAGTTCTTATGGAGAGTTGTGCTTATCGAAAAATATGTTAATGGAAAAATGGGAAAAAAACAGTGCTTATGAAGAAATAGTTTTAATCGAAATAGTGCTTATGGAAAATGGTGTTAATGGAAAATAGTGCTTATACAAAACAGTGTTAGTAGAAATTAGTTTTAAGAGAAAATTGTGCTAATGGAAAATAGCGTTCATGGAAATAGTGTTAATGGAAAAGTGCTTATAGAAAATAGTGTTAATGGAAAATAGTGATTATGGAAAATAATGGCAAAGGAAAATAGTGTATATATTTTTTTGTTTAAATGTATTTGTTCTATATATGATTGTTTGTATACAAGGGCGTCCTTGACATGTTAAACTGTGTAAGGTATCACCTAGTGTGTGAAAAGTAGCTTTATGGAAAAAGAGTATACTATGGAAACACGTCATTAGAGGAACACTGTGCAAAAAGAAAGATGGGAAAACGCACCTGGGAAATGTTAAGTAATCGCTCTCACGGGCTAATGGACCTTCCTGGCGACCACCGTGCCCGCGCTCGTCCTGGGCATGACGTTAAACTGCAGCCTGGGGTCGCAGTAGCAATGATGGCGCCCCATGTATCCCCCGCATCGTGAGGTTTATTTGTCTGAAGGTTGTTTGTTTGTTGGCACTGCATGTCTGTTTGGGTAGTGTAAGGTATACTCCTAGCTCAAGGCCACGTACCATCCGTACAGAGGAGCCCGAATTCAAATCTCCCGTGAGGCAGGAGAGGCTTAGGGACCAGTTGAACATTGAAATTAGGGATCCCGTTGACTCCCCTTAAGAGAAGACAGTAATACTCCTTTTGAAGGTCTAACATTGCTGCTTTTATCGTTCCTAGTGTCCTTCCACTGTAGGGATAGTAGCAATAGTAGTAGCCATAGCAGTAGTGATAACAGTAGTGGTAGCACGAGCAATAGCAGTAGTAGTAATGGTAGAACGCGCAATAGTAGTAGTAGTAGTAGTGGTAGCACGAGCAATAGCAGTAGTAGTAGTGGTAGAACGAACAACAGCAGTAGCAGTAGTAGTGGTAGCACGAATAATAGCAGTAGTAGTGGTAGCACGAGCAATAGCAGTAGTAGTAGTAGTAGCACGAGTAATAGCAGTAGTAGTAGTAGTAGCAGCACGAGCAATAGCAGTAGTAGTAGTAGTAGCAGCACGAGCAATAGCAGTAGTAGTAGTAGTAGTAGCAGTAGTGGTAGCACGAGCAATAGCAGTAGTAGTAGTAGTAGCGGCACGAGCAATAGCAGTAGAAGTAGTAGTAGTAGTAGTAGCAGTAGCGGCAGCACGAGCAATAGCAGTAGTAGTAGTAGTGGTAGCACGAGCAATAGCAGTAGTAGTAGTAGTGGTAGCACGAGCAATAGCAGTAGTAGTAGTAGTAGTGGTGGTAGCACGAGCAATAGCAGTAGTAGTAGTAGTGGTAGCACGAGCAATAGCAGTAGTATTAGTAGTAGTGGTGGTAGCACGAGCAATAGCAGTAGTAGTAGTAGCACGAGCAATAGCAGTAGTATTAGTAGTAGTGGTGGTAGCACGAGCAATAGCAGTAGTAGTAGTAGTGGTAGCACGAGCAATAGCAGTAGTAGTAGTAGTAGTGTTGGTAGCACGAGCAATAGTAGTAATAGTAGTAGTAGTGGTGGTAGCACGAGCAATAGCAGTAGTAGTAGTAGCACGAGCAATAGCAGTAGTAGTAGTAGTAGTGGTGGTAGCACGAGCAATAGCAGTAGTAGTAGTAGTAGTAGTAGCACGAGCAATAGCAGTAGTAGTAGTAGTAGTAGTAGTGGTAGCACGAGCAATAGCAGTAGTAGTAGTAGTAGTAGTGGTGGTAGTGGTAGCACGAGCAATAGCAGTAGTAGTAGTAGTAGCGGTGGTAGTGGTAGCACGAGCAATAGCAGTAGTAGTAGTAGTAGTAGTGGTGGTAGTGGTAGCACGAGCAATAGCAGTAGTAGTAGTAGTAGTGGTGGTGGTAGTAGTAGCACGAGCAATAGCAGCAGTAGTAGTAGTGGTGGCAGTGGTAGCACGAGCAATAGCAGTAGTAGTAGTGGTGGTGGTAGTGGTAGCACGAGCAATAGCAGTAATAGTAGTAGTAGTGGTAGTGGTAGCACGAGCAATAGCAGTAGTAGTAGTAGTAGTAGTAGTGGTAGTAGTAGCACGAGCAATAGCAGTAGTAGTAGTAGTAGTGGTAGTGGTAGCACGAGCAATAGCAGTAGTAGTAGTGGTAGTGGTAGCACGAGCAATAGCAGTAGTAGTAGTAGTGGTGGTAGTGGTAGTGGTAGTGGTAGCACGAGCAATAGCAGTAGTAGTAGTGGTAGTGGTAGCACGAGCAATAGCAGTAGTAGTAGTAGTAGTAGTGGTAGTGGTAGCACGAGCAATAGCAGTAGTAGTAGTAGTAGTAGTGGTAGTGGTAGCACGAGCAATAGCAGTAGTAGTAGTAGTAGTAGTCGTAGTGGTAGCACGAGCAATAGCAGTAGTAGTAGTAGTGGTGGTAGTGGTAGTGGTAGCACGAGCAATAGCAGTAATAGTAGTAGTAGTGGTAGTGGTAGCACGAGCAATAGCAGTAGTAGTAGTAGTGGTGGTAGTGGTAGTGGTAGCACGAGCAATAGCAATAGTAGTAGTAGTAGTAATAGTGGTAGTGGTAGCACGAGCAATAGCAGTAGTAGTAGTAGTAGTGGTGGTAGTGGTAGCACGAGCAATATCAGCAGTAGTAGTAGTAGTGGTGGTAGTGGTAGCACGAGCAGTAGCAGTAGTAGTAGTAGTAGTAGTGGTAGCGCGAGCAGTAGTAGTAGTAGTAGTAGTAGTAGTGGTAGTGGTAGCGCGAGCAGTAGCAGCAGCAGTAGTAGTAGTAGCACGAGCAATAGCAGTAGTAGTAGTAGTGATAGTAGCTCGAGCAATAGCAGTAGTAGTGGTAGCACGAGCAATAGCAGTAGTAGTAGTAGTAGTAGCACGAGCAATAGCAGTAGCAGTAGTAGTAGTAGTAGTGATAGTAGCTCGAGCAATAGCAGTAGTAGTAGTGGTAGCACGAGCAATAGCAGTAGTAGTAGTAGTAGTGGTGGTGGTAGCACGAGTAATAGCAGTAGTAGTAGTTGTAGTAGTAGTAGTGGATGCACGAGCAATAGCAGTAGTAGTAGTAATAGTAGCACGAGCAATAGCAGTAGTAGCAGTAGTAATAGCACGAGCAATAGCAGTAGTAGTGGTAGCAATAGCAGTAGCAGTAGTAGTGGTAGCACGAGCAATAGCAGTAGTAGTAGTTGTAGTAGTAGTAGTGGATGCACGAGCAATAGCAGTAGTAGTAGTAATAGTAGCACGAGCAATAGCAGTAGTAGCAGTAGTAATAGCATGAGCAATAGCAGTAGTAGTGGTAGCAATAGCAGTAGCAGTAGTAGTAGTGGTAGCACGAGCAATACCAGTAGTAGTAGTAGTAGTGGTAGCAATAGTAGTAGTAGTAGTGGTAGCAATAGCAGTAGTAGTAGTAGTAGTGGTAGCAATAGTAGTAGTAGTAGTAGTGGTAGCACGAGCAATAGCAGTAGTAGTAGTAGTAGCACGAGCAATAGCAGTAGTAGTAGTGGTAGGAAGAGCAAGAGTAGTAGTAGTAGCACGAGCAATAGCAGTAGTAGTAGTAGTAGCACGAGCAATAGCAGTAGTAGTAGTGGTAGCAATAGCAATAGCAGCAGTAGTAGTAGTGGTAGCAATAGCAATAGCAGTAGTAGTAGTGGTAGCAATAACAATAGCAGCAGTAGTAGTAGTGGTAGCAATAGCAATAGCAGCAGCAGTAGTAGTAGTGGTAGTACGAGCAATAGCAGTAGTAGTGGTAGCAATAACAATAGCAGCAGTAGTAGTAGTAGTGGTAGCACGAGCAATAGCAGTAGTAGTAGTAGTAGTGGTAGCAATAACAATAGCAGTAGTAGTAGTAGTAGTAGTGGTAGCACGAGCAATAGCAGTAGTAGTAGTAGTAGTGGTAGCAATAACAATAGCAGCAGTAGTAGTAGTGGTAGCACGAGCAATAGCAGTAGTAGTAGTGGTAGCAATAGCAATAGCAGCAGCAGTAGTAGTGGTAGCAATAGCAGTAGTAGTAGTAGTGGTGGTAGCAATAACAATAGCAGCAGTAGTAGTAGTGGTAGCACGAGCAATAGCAGTAGTAGTAGTGGTAGCAATAGCAGCAGTAGTAGTAGTAGTGGTAGCAATAACAATAGCAGCAGTAGTAGTAGTGGTAGCACGAGCAATAGCAGTAGTAGTAGTGGTAGCAATAGCAATAGCAGCAGCAGTAGTAGTGGTAGCAATAGCAATAGTAGAAGTAGTGGTAGCACGAGCAATAACAGTAGTAGTAGTAGTGGTGTTATCAATAGCAATAGCAGTAGTAGTAGTAGTAGTGGTAGCAATAGCAGTAGTAGTAGTAGTTGTAGCAATAGCAATAGCAGTAGTAGTAGTAGTGGTAGCAAGAGCAAGAATAGTAGTAGTATCCCCCGCAGCGGGAGATCTATTTGTCTTAGGATTGTTTGTTTGTATTGTATGTATGTTTGGGTAGTATGTCTGTTGCATAGGCATGTATGTTAGTCATGTATGGTAGTTTGCAAATATTTCTGCAATATGTAGTTGTTTGCGTTGTATTCTTGAACAAGGGGTCTGTTTATGTTGTATATCCTTGCACTAGATGGTCTATTTACTTTGCATGATTGCGTTTTGTTAATGTTTTTTTTTTTATGGCATACATGTTCCGTGTTATATCAGTGTTGCACCTGCGTTTTCGCTCAATGTCCTCTTGTGTGACATGTCCGTCTGTCAGCAAGGACGCTAGAGGGCCGAAGAAAGTCAACGTCCATTTGGAACCGGAGGCGAGACGGGCACCGCCGTGGACCTCGCCTTATGAAACGCTCAATGGCCACACGGCAGAAGGTGGACGGTGTCACTGCGTGAGATATGAAGGAAGAGGGGAAAATAAAAGATATATGTATCATGTGTGATGTACAGTAATGTATAATGTAATACATAAGACGATATACTGTGACCTATGAGATATATTGAATAATGTAATTAATTGTTGAGAAGGAGATGCCGAGTTAATCTAGCCACTGAGTGGGCAAGTCAGCCTACTTCAGTGCCGGTCCCAAGCCCGGGTAAATAGAGAGGGTTGGAAGCCGGAAAGTTTATATAGCGACCTCAATAATGGGACAAATTACATCAAAAGAATGAAAAGATGTAGGAGAGGCGGGGTAGATGCACTAAGAAAGGGCATCTGTCCATAAAACAAAAAAACAAAAACATCTGCCGGAACCAGATAATAGCGACCCCAAATAAGAGTGGGACAAAGCCACAGCGGCAGGAGGTGAGATGTCGACTTGTGAATAATATATGTGAAGGGATAGGGGGTATGTGCGTTCAATGGCGTCGTTGTGTACTGCATAAACATGTGCTTGCACCGCAAAATGTTTGTGTTTTGGCACCATACACTTTTTCATCCATCTACGCTGCAACAATGTGTCCCTTTGTCGTTTGTCTGTTTGTTTACACAACATGAATGAGTGTTTGTTTACACTGCATATATGTTTTACATGACCATTGTGTTTGTTTATATCTCATGCATGGGTATAATTGTTTGCATAGCGTTATAGTTCGTCAGTTTTGGGGGGCCAATTCTTGATTATTTGTTTGCAATCCACGCACACGCACACACGCGCGCGCTCGCGCGCACACACACACACATACACACATACAAATATACACACACATACACATATACATACACCAATTACAAAAGTCACATCCGCGGACACTTACACGCACAAGAGAAGAATAGGACACCTATTTCCAGAGGGCGACACGCAACAAGTTCTCGCCGGACAGACACCGTCGTTGCAGCACGCCGTTGACCTCGAGCACTTTCGCCGTCAAAGTACCAATTACGCCACGGCCAATTTCATAGCCACGCTCCCTGAAAACATCCTAATCGCCCTAGTACATGGCGCCAGAACAGGGATAAGACATGCCCTTCTCCCAGACCTTTTACATTTTGCCAAATGAAATGGTGCACCTGTATTTATGAAATGTATTTAGGGAAAATAGTGCCGTTAATGGAAAACTGTTAAAGGAAAATCATTCATTTTGCAAAAAGTGATGCACTTTGTGAAATATAATTTACGGAAAACTGTATTTTACGAAATTTATGCTTCGTGTGCATGTCCGCGTGTGTGTCAAACTGCACTCTGGGGTCACTTGAGCGAGGCTAGCGAAATAATGCATTTTACACGCATCACCGTTTCTAATGTCAAGCGTATTTCCGTGTTTCTTTGTCATGGTTATGCGTTTTACTATTGACTTGCTTCGCGTTTTCAATGAACATTGCGGTGCGATCGCATTCATAATTTTGTTTATGTTTATGATATACGTCCAGGGGTCGCCTGAGCGAGGCTAGCAACACATACATCCCGTGTCAAGTATGATTTCAAGCATATGCATGTATGCTAGCCTCGCCCAGAGTGTTTGCTTCTTTGTTTCCGCGTTGGTATGCGTATTTCGCATGCATATTTAAATATGTCTGGATTTTTTGTAGTTATTCCCGGGAAAGTTGGAGAGTTTATCAATATCTCATCCATTCTGAGTTTCTGTGGATGCTTTTCGGCGCAAATGGGTGCATATGCTGCCCCAGGTGTGTCAGACATCCCGAGAGAGCCGCTTCTTTGGTGGACTAATTTCTAAGACGAAGACACAGGAGCTACGTCATTCAAAACACGAAATTTTGAAATAGGTTTTGCACCCTATGAAGAAGGACACCACCCACGGCCGCGAAGGAAAGGGCAAAGAAGGTCATTTTTATTTGATATTGAGTTTGAAATGATTTGTAATGTGAAATGAGATATGGCATTTAGTATATATGATATACAAATATATGTTATGAAGGACATGCATTTTGCGTATGCTCAGGCACAAACATACACCCCCCCCACACACACACACACATACATAAAACCCAGTTCACAGTTGCAAGTTCTTTACGAAAACTCACATACCCCCTCTTGCAACTCGGATTTCTTAGTTCTCTCGGAATCTCCTTGACCTCGAGTCCAAGGTCAAATGCGTGACCCTGTGCCGCCCACATCGTGTTGATGTGTTGATGGAAAATAGTGTTAATGAAAAATAGTGTTAATGGAAAATAGTGCTAAATAATATTACGTATTTATTAAAATATTATTCGTAGAAAATGGTTCATTTTGGAAACTAGCGCATCTGGTGGAAAATAACGCAATTAACAGGAAATTGTGCATTTAGTGAAAAAAATAGTGCCGTTAATGGAAAAAGGAAAATCATTCATTTTGCAAAAAGTGGTGCACTTTGTGAAATATAATTTACGGAAAACTGCATTTTACGAGATATTTGCTTCTTGTGCATGCCCGCGTGTGTGTCTAACTGCACTCTGACGTCACTTGAGCGAGGCTAGCAAAATAGTGCATTTTACACGCATCACCGTGTCTAATGTCAAGCGTATTTTGGTGTTTCTTTGTCATTATTATGAGTTTTACTATTGACTTGCTTCGTGTTTTCCATGAACATTGCGGTGCGATCGCATTCATAATTTTGTTCATGACCATGTTATGCGTCCAGGGGTCGCCTGAGCGAGGCTAGCAACACGTACATCCCGTGTCAAGTCTGATTTCAAGCATATGCATGGTATGCTAGCTTCGCTCAGAGTGCTTGCTTCTTTGTTTCCATGTTGGTATGCGTATTTCGCATGCATATTTAAATATGTCTGGATTTTTGTGGTTCTTCCCGGGAAAAGTGGGAGTTTCTCTTGTTTTCAGAATTCAGATGACGTATGATAATCCAGAATCCAGAAGGGTTAACATTCGACATTGATTCCTAATCTATTGTAGGCACAGGTAAGAACATGGTTGTTTGTATGCCTTTGTATTTGCTTACATTTAGCATTCTATTTTACTAGTTATTTTAATACTACTGTTATATGTTTCGCCCCTTTACAGTAAACTGATAGTAAGCTATTACTACTGTATTTATTTCCTGGGCATAACGCTAAACTGCCACCTGGGGTCGCTTGAGCATGATAGGACCCCATTCCTCCCCGTTTCAAGGGGTTTGTTTACCTGCTTCCTCATTTTGTTTGTATTGCTAGCTATAAAGATTTTTTTTTCCAAGGTTCATAGTGAAATATTTAATTTGGTGAGAAGGGTTAGATGGGAGGGGGGGGGGGCAGAGTAATATCTCGTCTTTCTAGAATCTCGGAACGACACGATACGTTGTTGCAAGTTACGTTGCTGTACGAAGGGAAGGAATGAAAGACAAAACTCTCAGGCGACGTCACGGGAAGAGGAATCCCCGCAGGTGAACTCAAAAGCTAAGGTATTTGTTTTAGATATATGAACTTTTTCAGTTTAGATGTTCTTAGATTATCTCTTTCACTGTGTTCACGAAAACTGTTTTCTCGTTACTTCCAGAATCCGGGGAGTATCCTGATGCAGAAGTATTGGCACTGGAGGCTGGCTTCCGCAAGACATCCTTTCATAGTTCGCCTGCGTCTCGGGTGAGTGTCGTCTCGGGTGTGAGGTAGACGTCGGAGGAGACTCTTAAAGAGGTGAGGAAAGGTTAATGTATTTCGGTAAGAAAATCTCATATAATATAATACATGGTAACATGAATGATATTACATATAATTTGTCAAATAAGCTGGGATGTATTCATTATTTTCGCATTGGGAAGAGGAAGAAGGGAGGGAAGGGGGGTTGACACTGATATCTCGAGGCTGACTTCCGCAGGACAGACGCGTATTTTCAGAATTTCATACGACAAGGTAGGTCGATGCAATCTACGTTCTCTAAAGCGAAGGAAATGAAAAACAAAATCAGGCGACATCAAGGGAACAGATTTTACTGCGAGCGATCCTGAAAGCTTACGTAAGTAGATTTCAAATAAGAGTATTTAATTTTTAATTTTACATATTCTGATGAACGGATTTATGGATGAGTGCCGTACCCACAGCAGAAAGGAAAATTTCTGACTTCTAGTTTATTTTCCAGTGATTTTCTAACGTAGAAAGACTGGCATTAGAGGCTGACTTCCACAGGACAGACGTCGGAGTCACCGAGAAGGAA